TTGATAAATGATTATGTCATGTCCTGTCACTCTGAATTGTCATTGGACACGATGAAGAAGGTACTTAGTCAGATGAGGCTTAGATTTTTGTCACTGATATATCACCTCTTCAAAAGAAAATGTTTTTAAATAAAATCAATTAGCTTAGCAAAATACAAACTCGGTGAAAAAGTAGCCTGATTGTGTTTTTTTTCCCCAAGTATAGCATTTCTATATTTCTATTAAAAAAAGTAAAAGAGAAGCAAAACGCCCAAAGCTGGTGCAGGCGAAAGCACTCATTGCACCAGGCCACGAGCTTTTGAAATCTCATGTGTTCTCGCGGCAGTTTGGGGAGGCCTCCCTGTGCTCCGTGCCGCTGGCTGCTGCATTCCCATCTCCCTGGGCTGATTGTGCTGCTGGCAACACCTTCTGAAGTGCTTCAGCACAGCAACCTGGCAAAAAACAGTTTTCCACCCCTCCTTTTTCTGAAATATTTTGAGTCAGAGTCTAATGGGAACTGGAGCTAGCCTGGGCTAGGAAGCATGATGAAGGGTGGCACTGGGATGCACTGCTCAGGGCAGTGGGGAAGTCACCATCCCTGGAAGTGTTTAAGGAGAGGCTGGATGTGGCACTTAGTGCCGTGGTCTGGTTGATGTGTTGGTGTTGGGTCATAGGCTGGACTTAGTGGTCTCAGAGGTCTTTTCCAGCCTCAGCAATTCTGTGATTCTGTGAGTGGCTCAGAGGCTGCTGGGGAAGCATCGCTTGGGGCGCAGCAGAAGGGCCAGTGATGTTTCCCGTTATACCAGGTTTTGATCAAACTTGGATGAGCAGGAGAATAAGTTAATTTCTTAGTGGGGAGCGTCAGCTTGAGTCCTCGTGGGGAAGAGCATGAAGAGAATTTATTTGTAGGTTTTCTGGAACCTGTCCATCAGAGAAAGATACAGGAGAGAAATCACAAACTATTTGAAAGAATGTTGGAGCAACTCAGATCACCTCAATGACTGCGAAAGGGCAACTCTTCAGATATGCAGCACAACAGGATTTTTTTTCTAGCAAAATAATCACTGCACACAGGCTCTATGGTCATAATTCCCGGGTACGTGTATATGCTTTAAACCTTACGGACATTTCTGTTGAAAGGCACGAGTGCTGATACATGTTGTTAATGATGTCTCTTGTGAGCCAAAGCAGGTTTGTAGCTCGCATTCGAATGTCTGTGTGAAAGCGAACATGAGCAAAAGGTTATTCTAACACCCAGTTTCTTGGGAGCAGCTTTGCTGTTGTATTAGCAGATTTTACTTGACAATAGGCAAGTCGGTACTCTGCCGAAAATAACACAAAACACAAGTAGACCAAGAATTGTAATTGAGATCTAGTTTGATGTTAATCAGCAATTCAGTTCAAGAATTTTTTGCTAGTTTTTGTCCTAATCTTTTTGGTAACAGCTCTGGAATGTGTTTGATTTGGGACTGTAGATGTGAATCAAGATTGTTTGTTTTATAGAAAAGGAAAGGTGACCAAAGGGAAGAAATCCAACTGGCTTTGCATTACATGTATTGATTTGGTCTGACTTTCTAAATTAATTAGCGTGCAGCTGAAGCTTGGCATGTGTGATTTCAGTGCTTTTGAGATAGGATTTTTGGAAGCAGGGATGGAACCTAATCCTTTGCTAATCTATATTTTACTGGATCTGTTTTATATCAACAGCCTTTGCTTCTGCTGAGATATATGTAAATCAGAAACTGGGATTATAAGATTGATTATTATGACACCTAATGGCACCCCATCTGCAAGAATAATTAAAAATGCTTTCTTGGAGAGAAGGAGCAAAAACCCTTAATTCATTTGCCTTGCAAAATGCTATGCATATGTAACTTATGAGTTGTACCCATAAATAAAATTAGGGAAAGGAGCAAGGTTACATGCAGTTAAGTGAAAATGACTTTCCTAAGACACTTGTTCCTTTTCCAGGGCTTCAATGTCACAATATCACAGTATGCTAGGGATTGGAAGGGACCTCAAAAGATCATCTAGTCCAATCCCCCTGCCAGAGCAGGAACACCTAGATGATGTTACACAGGAAGGCGTCCAGGTGGGTTTTGAATGTCGCCAGAGAAGGAGACTGCACCACCTCCCTGGGCAGCCTGTTCCAATGTTCTGTCACCCTCACTGAGAAGAAGTCTCTTCTCAAATTTAAGTGGAACCTCTTGTGTTCCAGCTTGATTCCATTACCCCTTGTCCTATCATTGTTTGCCACTGAGAAGAGCCTGGCTCCATCCTCGTGACACTCCCCCTCTATATATTTATAAACACTAATAAGGTCACCCCTTAGTCTCCTCCAAACTAAAGAGACCCAGCTCCCTCAGTCTTTCCTCATAAGGGAGATGCTCCACTCCCTTCAGCATCTTTGTGGCTCTGCGCTGGACTCTCTCCAGCAGTTCCCTGTCTCTCTTGAGCTGAGGGGCCCACAACTGGACACAATATTCCAGATGTGGTCTCACTAGGGCAGAGTAGAGGGGAAGGAGG